CCGTCCACCGCCCCTCATGGAGCTGTCAACAGCCTCTGCTGCAGTACCTACCGCCCACCGGCCCTGACGGAGCCATCCCCCACACTAACCAGAGCCCCTGCCAGTATATCCCGAATCCTGACAGTGTCCCTGCCAGTGCTGCCCACCGCCCAGCTGGCAGTGCCAGTACGTCCCTGCCAGTGCCGCCCACCGCCCAGCTGGCAGTGCCAGTACGTCCCTGACAGTGCTGCCCACCGCCCAGCTGGCAGTGCCAGTACGTCCCTGACAGTGCTGCCCACCGCCCAGCTGGCAGTGCCAGTACGTCCCTGACAGTGCTGCCCACCGTCCAGCTGGCAGTGCCAGTACGTCCCTGACAGTGCTGCCCACCACCCAGCTGGCAGTGCCAGTACGTCCCTGACAGTGCTGCCCACCGCCCAGCTGGCAGTGCCAGTACGTCCCTGACAGTGCTGCCCACCACCCAGCTGGCAGTGCCAGTGTCCCTGACGGTGCTGCCCACCGCCCAGCTGGCAGTGCCAGTGTCCCTGCCAGGTAACACAGGTGTTGTCCGGTTTCCCGGTGTGTCCCCACCACACTAGATGCTCCGATGCATATCGCCCCTGCAACTCTGAAGACGTGGCACACACTTCCGCTACCGCCTCTCTCTCTCTCCCCTCCCTCCCTCTCTCTCTTCCATTCTCTTACACTTTTTTTTCTCTCTCTCTCTCTCACTCTCTCTCTCTCTCTCTCTCTCTCTCTCTCTCTCTCTCTCTCTCTCTCTCTCTCTCTCCCTTCCGTTCTCCCATACTTTACTATCTCTTCCCCCTTCTCTGTTTCAGGTTTCTCCACTCTCCCTTCCTCCCCCTCTCTATTTCTCTCTCCTCTCTTCTTGTCTTATCGTCTACCTTGATTTCTCTCTTCTGACTTTCAACATCCAATGGCAGGTTTTGAGTTAATTACGGATAGAAGAAATCATGGTATTTAACGGACGATAGGGCTGTATAAAACAAACTAAAACAAAGACTCTCAGTTATCACCCGGCTATGAAAACAGTGAGCCAATTAATGTTCGTACGGCTCTGATAGTTTGAACGACCTCGCACAACGTTACACACTCATGTGGCAATAATGCAACATGTGCTACACTCCACAGGATTAGGACGAGGGTTACTATGCAACTGCAGCCTGCATTTGCATCACAATGCGGCACGATGCACACGGGTACATCTCGCCGACAAGTTCAGTGTCGGCTGCCCCGGCCGCACAGGCTGGTCGACATTTCCGCGCTCATGAATACGTAAGACAGCTCAAGTGGTAGACAAACATACGCGTTCGCATGGTGCACATTCACTTCGCAGTTTTCCTTGCAAATGCCCCTTACCTATTAACCAAGTCGCTATCACAGAACACCAATCAAGATTTCATCGATGACATGTACAAAGTAGTATTCGCTTGATAGTTGATGTGTTGACACTGACTCATAATTAATCGAATCGAATGAGTCGGCGATACCTACAGCAGGAGGCGGACCGGGCAAAAGCTGCGCGGCAGAGCGCCTCTCCAGCCTCCAGGGCGGAGGAGAAAGGAAAACACAAATCAGACAGCTGTCAGCCAGCATCTGGCAACAGGTAACCATAACTTATCTGACAGCACATTGCAAAATGGCAGCATCTGCCCCACCCACAGCAGAGACAATGAACATACGGCTGTTTTCCACAGAGTTTTTTGCAAAATACGAGCATATGTTTAGCTATGCATAGAGATGGTATTTGCTTTGCATAAAATTCATGTTACCTATGACAAAGGTTAAGGAAAGGGGAAAGTAAGCGCGCCAGGCTGGTCCATTATGTAATGCACATCTGGTTCACTATATCGTGAAATAATAGAGAAAGAGAGGGAGAGGAGAAACTCAGGGACATTGAAAGAAAGGGAAAGGCATAGAAAGAGTATAAAATGTGCTGCAAAAGGTTAGTGATACGAATATTTGGGGACATAATAGCATTAGAACGTTAAATACCCGTTAAAAAGAAAACGGAAACTTCTTATTTCGTACTGTATATTCTTAAGATAAAATGATGGCGGGGCTGGGCTGCAATCAGCTCTCCAGACCGGTGGTCCCTCCGAGACCGGCGGTCCCTCTTAGAGTCAGACCAGTGGTCCCTCCGAGACCGGCGGTCTGCCACAGACCGGCTGCCTGCAGCTGCCGTCGCGCCGGGTAGCGAAAGCGGTCGCCGCCCGCTCCCCCTCCTCCGCGGCACCGTGACGACTTCGTGACGCCGTGACGGTGCGTCACGGTGCTCCGTCCGTCTGTCGCGCGGTGGTCCCGGTACGCTCTGACGGCCCGGGGGCCAGCACAGAGCGAGGTGGGCCACTTTGTGTAATCAAAAGGACAGAGAAGCGGGGAGAGGCCGGGGAGCCTCCCAGTTTTCAGCTACGCTGCTGGGCTAGGCAGGCAGATATGATTCCGTAACACTGTGCGGTGTGCAATGAGCATCGCGCTGATTGTCTCTTTGTTTTATCTGTCCCTAGCGTTTACATGCATACCTTCCCTCAGATCTAACTCACAGAATGAGTAAGAGAGTGATAGAGAGAGAGAGGGAGAGAGAGAGAGAGAGAGAGGAGAGAGAGAGAGGAGAGAGAGGAGAGAGGAGAGAGGAGAGAGGAGAGATAGAGATAGAGATAGAGATAGAGATAGAGATAGAGATAGAGATAGAGATAGAGATAGAGATAGAGATAGAGATAGAGATAGAGATAGAGATAGAGATAGAGATAGAGATAGAGATAGAGATAGAGATAGAGATAGAGATAGAGATAGAGATAGAGATAGAGATAGAGATAGAGATAGAGATAGAGATAGAGATAGAGATAGAGAGAGAGAGAGAGAGAGAGAGAGAGAGAGAGAGAGAGAGAGAGAGAGAGAGAGAGAGAGAGAGAGAGAGAGAGAGAGAGAGAGAGAGAGAGAGAGAGAGAGAGAGTTTTGCTGTTATTAGAAGACGGTTAAAAATCGTGTGAATCCCTCCGCAGCAAAAAGTACGAGGAACGCTCCTACTGCTCCGGTAACTGACTCTGAACATAGAGGATCCATCGGCAGCATGTTGAAATGGAAGGGTGCCGTCTCGCCGCCTTTCATCTGTCTCACGACGTACGCCCGGCGGGCTGGAGGCGGGCGCTGTTTGGCAATATCGGGCCGGTCCGGTCTCCACATTTGTCATCCAGCCCGACCAGTGCGCGGGCCGCACGAGCCGCCGTCTGCAGCCGCCCGTGCCGTGAGCGCACCACGCGACACAACGGCTTCTGTCCGCTTTCCAAGGCAATCAGTCCGCTTCCTGTCAACAGCACGCTGCAGCGGAGAGCGGCGCCCGGGAGGTGCCTGCTCAGAGCCCGGGCGGGAGAGGTGCCTGTCTGGCGGCCGCCCGGCGCGCTTTCCCAGGAACTGGTGAATCCGAGAGTCAGGGCGCCGGGTCGCTGACGGCGGCGGGCTTTCTCGCGTGGATCTGGAGCATTGGATCGCGATCCGTGACCTCGTGGCTGCTCCGTGCTGGTCGTCACGTCACCCGGGGCGGCCGGGCGGCCGCTGCGGGGCGGCGCGGGCGCACTGACCCGGCGCCGAGCTCCGTCATGGGCGGGACGCCGGGGCGCGATCGAGTTTCCCCCACGACCTCTGCTCCAGGAGAAATGCTGCTCCAGTGAAAGGATGCCGTGTCTTATGGCCCAGCTTACATTGTCGAGCTTTTGCTTAAAGTCAACTCTCCTGTAGGTTCCTTTATAAGATGTCCTGATTGCTCGCACCTATTACTAAACAGCAATGCCTCGTGCGAGATTCGTTAGTCATATACACCTTTTTACGGCCAAATATAGAAAAAGTGCACACAGTTCAGAAATAGTGCAACCATTTCGACAGTTCGGCATAGTGCACCGCTTCTTAGGCCGAGTGCATGAAATTCAGTAATAGTGCACACGGCTCCGAAACAGTGCAAGCAATTTAAAAGAGAATGCATTCATTTTCAGTAGTTGCGATTTCAGTTTCGCCAGAGTGCATTGCTTCGTCATATGCATTGGTATTCGGCGTACCGCAAAGCAATTTAGTTAACCTTCAAGCGAATTCGGTGCCCCATCTAGAAAATATTTTTGACAACGCTCTTGCTGTTCATCAAGTGTAGCGTGGTGCCGTTCAAACAAGCTGCTAATGAAATTTTACTAAATTATTGAAATTTTACTGCTAATAAAAATTAGCGAGATTTTAATGAATGTAATGAAAAGGCCCAATTTAGGCGGCAGTGCACACATTTCAAAAATAGTGCAGGCGATTTCGACAGCACGGCATAGTGCATTGATATATTGAATCGCGGCACGATATTCGCCATATTGCAGCCATTTCGTCATAGTGCAGGTTTAAAGTGACCCAGGTTCAGGCATATTAGACATATCGCACATTATTCGTCAGATCGTTTCAATTTCGGGGTCCCGCATGTAATTTAGGCACTGTTCAGTAACACGGCATTGCATAAATAAGTAATAACAATTTTTATTTGACATTTCACGCTACCTGAGCCTCCAATGACACTCGTAGTCAGTCAGCAACGCAAAAAAGTCAAGTAGCCAGCTGCACTGCTCTGGATGCAAAAGGTAGAGGGTATTTAATGTTTCATCTGGGTGCCTTAGCTTCAATCATATAAGACATAGTGCACATAATTCGTCGGGTGCTTATATATTCGGCATGAGCAATATTTTTTCGGCTTTGTTCAATCAAATTCGCCATGATGCTGAAAGGCGATAACAAGAATCCATAGCATTTCTGATCTTTTTGAACCAGCAACGAAGTTATGCACCCGATTCAGAAGCCCTGAATGCCACGTGACCGCCACTCGACCGTGTCACCGAGTTCTTAGAGCGAGACTAATGATAGACGTAAGTTAATTCCTGAGAGCTGAAACTGCATTTGAGCAGGTTTTTGACCAAGATTCACGCTACTCTTGACAGGCAGATAGGGGATTTCAAAAATATTTTCCCAATCCAGCAGTGTTCCCGCGCGTACAATTTGGTTGCGTTTTCCCATTGCGTTTAAGGCGAAACATGACGCGCGCCGCGGCGAGCGTGGCGCTTCTGGAGGCTCCAGCGCGGCCCCTCCGACGCCATATTGACGGGTCGGTGAAACCCCCGAACGAAGTAAGCTGAAATGATAAAATTGATATTATGTTGAGTTGTGCAAATCATGTTATTGTTTAGGTTGGTCGTTATGTTGAGTGTCTCAGTTGTTTATCTCATTCTCTCATAGATATTACTGTGATATTCATTGATTTGGTTTTGCAGTCGCGCGCCATAACCGTCTCTTAATCATTATGTGACTGTTATTTATTCTTCCTTTCAGTTTTCACGTACCGTACCGTTTTGTACCACGTGATGCCAGCGGTTATGAGAGCAGCGATGTATTATCCTATGTACTATACCGGCAATAGAAAACTAGATTGAATGATGGTCTTTTGTCGGCCGGTTCAGTGAAAATTCGTTCAGTTTAATTCATTTTACTTTCCCGTTTTTGATAGTCTAATCCATAGATGATTTCCCATGAAGTAGCTTGTGATATCTCATTGTAGTGAATTTTGATTTGTGTTGATTGGTCAAGAGATTGACTGATCTTCACATTTTCTTTATTTTATACGTTCTGGCTCGTATTTTGCCTGTAGTCACAATTTGTGTTGGTTATGTAGTGTAGTGTGGTTTTCATTGATGACACTGTTCCCCCACTAACTACTGTGATTAAATCCAGACCTATCCTTCTGTTCGATTGACGTCTATTCCCAATCCTCTGGTTCTCGACCCACACTGACGCGATGGATAACCCAGAGGGAGCTACTGATGACTATAGACCAGAGACCCGCTCGTCTCATGAACTGAAGCTGACAGAAAAGGGCAGAGAGTACCAAACTGGAATGAAACTGAAGGTGTTCAAGCAGATGCTCGTTAAGTTAGAGAAAGATGGTACATCCCTGCTAGATGAACTCGCAACTCAAGACGAAGATGAGCAAACGAATGAGAAGATGGCTAAGAAGGTTGCCAAATGGAAGCACAGTCATCTGCTGCTACTGCAAACAAATGAAGACCTGCGTCCCCTGCTGGGAGCAGAGTACGAGGTGCACAAGTCCACCTATGAAGGCAGATTGATGCAGTTAGACAGCACCCGAGCAACAATTGAGTCCCTGATGCTTCCAGAAGAAGTCACAAGTGAGAAGCCCAAGAGAAGACCAGACGACTGCTCGTCTGTGGCTCAGAGTTCCAGATCATCTTCAGGCTCTGCCATGAGAGCTCAGCTCTTCATGCTGAAAGTCCAAGAAAGCCAGCATGCAGCAGAGACAAAGGCAAGAGCTGCTGCCCTGGAAGAGAAACAGAAGTTGGAGATGGAGATGAAGATGATGGAGTCAAAGATGCAGGAGTTGAAGTGGAAAGAAGAGATGCATCAAATCGAGACTGAAAGAAGGATTCACGAAGCAAAGGAAGAAGTACTCGAAATGATGGAGCAGAAGGTTGATTCGTTCATGACGCCAACAAGACAGGAAGAGACAGAGAAGGTGAAGACGCCTGGTATTGGAAGACAGGGGACAACTGAGGCACAACCAACTGACTGCCACGAAGCAGGTAAAGACGTGACAGAACCTGTTGTGCCTTCCACTGATACCCCTGTTCCTGTCCACTGCCAGGACCATGAACCTACTCCCACACCAGAAACTGCTGCTCCGACACAGGTAACAGCCACTACTGTGGCTGATATCCTGTCCATCCAAGCTCAGAGATCCCAGCTACCTCCCACAGAGCCAGGAGTGTTTAAGGGAGACCACACGACCTTTTGCATTTGGTTGAACGCCTTCGAGACCTATATTGAGTCCAGATGTTCATCACCCAGAGAGAGACTTCATTATTTAGGCCACTATACAACAGGGGAAGCGAGAAGTGCAATCACAGGCTTCCTACAGATGGGCACTGATGAGGCTTACCTGCATGCGAAGAAGCGCCTGAAGGACAGGTATGGCAACGTGTTCATCACCATCAACGAGCTGAAGAAGCGTCTTCAAAGATGGCCTGATGTGAAGATGGGTGACAGCAAGGCATTCACCGAACTGTCAGACTTCCTGGAACTCTGTATGGTGAATTCCAACAGCATGGATGGTCTGAAGATATTTGGCAGTCCATCTGAGATAGATCCTATCCTGAAGAAGCTGCCCAGATACCTCACAGACAGCTGGAGGCGAATCGTGGACCGGTGGATTTACGAACCAGGAGAAGGAGCTCATCCTCAGTATCCACCGTTCGAACACTTTGTACAGTTTGTCAGCAGAGAGGCCAGAGTCGCCTCCGGTCCAGTGTTGGTGAGGGGCAGTGAAGAGGAGAGGAAACTACAACCAAAACCAAGAAATGCACGTGTTCTGCTTACATCTGCGCCGAGCGACAAACAGAGACCACAGGACAGCGGCCGTTGGATGCAACAACACCACTGTGTGGTGTGTAAGCAGGATCATCCCGTGGACAGCTGCCCAGCATTCTCGAGGATGTCCCTGAAGGAGAGGCAAGAGCTGGTCCGCCAGAGAGGACTATGTGGAGGTTGTCTGAGGCGCGGCCACAGGTGGAGGGAGTGTAGGAAGAGACAACACTGTGTAAAGTGTGGCAGGCAACACCCTACCCTGCTTCATGATGACACTTTCTCCCACAGGAATGACAAGGCGACATCGAAGGGCACTCAGACCAGCGCCGTCTCCCTCCATGCGACTTCATGTGACACAGCTGAGCAACCCAGGTGTACCCACACCATGCTGGTGCCAGTTCGCCTGAAGCACAAGGACTTCCCTGCCAGGGAGAAGACTGTGTATGCGCTGCTCGACCCCCAGTCTGACACGTGTTTTGTTAAGACGTCTGTGCTGCAGGAATGGGTCTGAGTGGAGAGGAGGTCACCCTGGAGGTCAGCACGATCACAGGCAGGACGACGTCGAAGAGTCAAGTTGTGCACGGTCTGGTGGTGATGAACTACACGGGCGAGACCGAAGTCGAGCTACCATCTACGTACACAAAGACGGACATCCCTGCAGAGCGACAGCTCATCCCGCGGCGCGACACGACGGCTGAGTGGCCTCACCTGCAAGAAGTTGCCCAACATCTACCAGAGTACCTCCCAGACGCCGAAATTGGCATCCTGATCGGCATCAGCTGTCCAAGAGCATTGAAGCCACTTCAGGTTGTTACCGGCGGTGACGACGACCCCTGGGCGATACGCACAGGCCTTGGATGGAGCGTCGTTGGATGCATGGGGCAAGCAACCAGCGATGCATCATGCCTCTACGGACGTGAAGGAGTCAGCCACTTCGCGTTTCGAGTGAGGGCTCGCGAGGTGCCCCCCGAGCAGCTGGCACGACTGTTCGATTCTGATTTTACTCCACAGACCGACAGCAAGGGCTCCGGGATGGCGAAAGTGTCCCAGGACGACCTTCACTTCATGAAAATCATGCGAGATGGCGTGCACCAACGTCCAGATGGTCGCTTCGAGGCACCTCTCCCTCTAAGGGACCGGAAGATGACACTGCCAGACAACGTCCATCAGGCTCAGACTCGCCTTCAGTCGCTGAAGAGGAAGCTGCAGAAGGACAGCAGCTACAAGGAAGCGTACACCACTGCAATTGAAGATATGCTGACCAAGGGTTATGCTGAGCCCGTTCCACAAGACGAGCTGGAGACGAGCAACGGGCACGTATGGTATGTGCCCCACCATGGTGTCGCCCAGCCGAAGAAAGGAAAACTTCGAGTGGTCTTCGACTGCAGTGTGGAGTTTCGCGGACGCTGCCTCAACCATGAGCTCCTGCAGGGTCCAGATATGTCGAACAACCTCGTCGGCATTCTGACCAGATTCCGAAAGGACGCAGTTGCACTAACGTGCGACATCGAATCCATGTTCAACCGGGTCTCGGTTGCTCCGAGCGACAGGAACCTCCTCAGGTTCCTCTGGTGGCCAGGAGGTGATATCGAGAAGGAACCAACCTTCTACAGAATGACGACGCACCTCTTCGGAGCTGTCTCCTCGCCAGCGTGCGCGATGCATGCTCTGAATCGGACTGCGGAGCTATACGAGCCCAAACATGGAAAGGAGGCAGCGAACTTCATCAGGAACGATTTCTATGTCGATGACGGACTCATCTCGACGCCAGATGCCAGCTCGGCAACCGCCCTCATCGACAACACGACAAAGCTCTGTGCTGAAGGTGGGTTCAGGCTCACGAAGTTTGCGTGTAACGACTTCACTATCATGGAAACTATCCCCATCTATTCGAGGGCCAAGTCTCTGATTGGCCTGACCTTCCAGGAGAATCCACAGGTCTGCGAACAAGCACTAGGCGTCAGATGGGACTTGAGTTCTGACACCATCCAGTTCGGAGTGGATCTTCCTGAACGGCCTGCTACCAGACGAGGAATCCTATCGGGAGTAAGTTCCTTGTATGACCCACTGGGACTGATCTCACCGGTGATTCTACGGGGGAAGAAGATCGTCAAGGAGTTGTGCGGCCGGGACTGCACCTGGGACGATCCAGTCCCAGACGAGCTGAAGCTACAGTGGCTGAGATGGAAGGCGACGCTGCCTGCTCTCTCAAGCTTGAAAATCCCCAGGCAGTACGGCTCGACGCTAACGTCTGACGAGCCGCCTGCAACCTTTCAGCTGCACCACTTCTCCGACGCGTCTACGAGCGGATACGGCGCTTGCAGTTACCTGCGCATCATCACAGACGGCGGAGAGGTATCTGCAGACCTGGTGATGTCGAAGGCCAAGGTGACGCCGAAGAAGGCTGTGACAGTTCCGCGCTTGGAGCTAGCAGCAGCTGTACTAGCCACCCAGATCGGCGAGTTTCTTCAGGACAGCCTGAACATCTCACAGATCCAGCATTACTACTGGTGCGACAGTCGCGTGGTGCTGGGCTATATCAGGAACAGTTCAAGACGATTCCACGTGTACGTGGCCAACCGCGTACAAACGATCCGCAGTCGTACCTCACCGACTCAGTGGCACTACATCCCGTCAGATCAGAACCCCAGTGATCTGGCCTCACGCGGATGTCTCGTTGAGGAGCTGATCGATAGTGACCTGTGGTGGCATGGACCTCCATTCTTATCCTGCCCAGAAGAGCCACCTCTCGAAGATGACGAAGACATCGTTGACCAGCAAGACCCTGAGGTGAAAAAGGCGGCGACGATGATGACGAACAGCCAACCTGTCGCAGAGCACGCGACTCTCCTGGAGCGACTTGGACGCTTCTCTACCTGGTTCGCCGCCAAGACAGCCGTAGCAAACTGCCTCAGATATGAGAAGAAACTGCAGGAGGCGTGCAGAAGAAAGCGAGGCAAAGAACACAGAGAAGATTCAGACAGACACCTGAGCGTACAAGACCTGAAGGAAGCTGAAGCAGTCATCATCAAGGCGCTTCAGAAGCAAGTGTTTGATGACGAACTGCGCCGTCGAGACGGAGAAGACACACTGAAGCCTCTGATGAAGAGTGCTCTGACCAAGTTGAATCCAGTGATGAGAGAGGGAGTGATCTGCGTAGGAGGACGGATCAGACGAGCAAGTCTGCCGAGAGAGGTAACGAACCCAGTCATCCTCCCGAAGACCAGCCACGTCAGCACCCTGATCATTCGCCAGTGTCACCAGAGAACAGGGCATTCAGGAAGAGAGACGACACTGGGCGAACTTCGACAACAGGGATACTGGATCCTGCACGGTCGGTCCGCTGTCTCCAGCTATATCATCAACTGTGTGCCGTGCAGGAAGCTGCGTGGTCCCCACGGGGGGCAGAAGATGGCTGAATTGCCAGCTGAGCGGCTGGAACCGTCTGCTCCCTTCACCTTCTGCGGGGTCGACTGCTTTGGCCCATTCTACGTGAGGGAGCGACGGAGCCAGGTTAAGAGGTGGGGTATCATCTTCACGTGCCTTGCCTCTAGAGCCGTGCACCTGGAAACGCTGAACTCCATGTCCACCGATGCGTTTCTGAACGCGTACCGAAGATTCGTCTGCAGAAGAGGTCCAGTGAGGGCTGTGTACTGCGATCGCGGGACGAACTTCGTCGGAGGTCAGGGAGCACTGAAAGCAGCCCTCGCAGAAATGGATCAGGAAAAGATCAGGACAAGTCTACTGAAAGATCAGTGCGACTTCGTGGACTTCAAGTTCAACCCACCTCACTCCAGCCACATGGGTGGGGCTTGGGAAAGGCTGATTCGCTGTGTACGATCAGTCCTGACAAGTCTGCTGGTCGCCAACGGAGAACAGATGGATGACGAGCTGTTACGAACGCTGATGTGTGAGGTCGAGAACATCCTGAACAGCCGTCCTATCTCACTAGCTGACATGTCCTCTACTAACCAGCTCGAGGCTTTGACCCCGAGTTCCCTCCTAACACAGAAATATAGAGTAGTGTTACCCTTTCCTGGTAGATTCGCTGCTCCGGACGTCTACGCTCGTCAGCGGTGGAGACGAGTGCAGCACCTCTCCAACGTCTTCTGGAGCCGGTGGCGACGAGAGGTTATACTGGCTTCACAAGAGAGGCGGAAATGGCAAAAGACGACGCCCAACTTCGAGACTGACGACGTCGTCTTGATCATGGACGATGACCACCCCCGTACCCAGTGGGTGCTGGCACGGGTCGTCGCTACACGCCCAGGCAGCGACGGCCTAGTCAGGAAGGTCAGCGTACGGACCAGCAAGGGGACGGAGCTCGAGAGACCGGTCCACCGCCTCGTCACGGTTCTTCGGAGGCGTGAGACCGGGTGAACCCGTCCGTCGGTCTGAGATAGCGGGGATGGAGGACGCCGCTGAGTTCATGCCGGCCATTGTGTTGGATGCGGGCCTGATCACCTCGTGGTGGGACATCGTGTCCGCCCGGGGTATGGACGCAGCGCTGGACGAGATCCAGATGGACGCGTGTGTGCTGGACGCCGAGGCCGGGTGCCACGGCGTGGCGTCAACATGACGGACAGAGTGCGTTTGTACTTGTGCCGTGATCGCGCGACAAAGGCTAGCGCTGCCCGAGTCACCGTGTAGTGACTTGTCACGCGGTGCTGCCAGCGATTCCCCGTCGAGGAGACATGTCGATGGGTAGAAGCGAGAAGTGCAAATTTTGTTTGCAAAATTTGGGGGAGCCATGTTCCCGCGCGTACAATTTGGTTGCGTTTTCCCATTGCGTTTAAGGCGAAACATGACGCGCGCCGCGGCGAGCGTGGCGCTTCTGGAGGCTCCAGCGCGGCCCCTCCGACGCCATATTGACGGGTCGGTGAAACCCCCGAACGAAGTAAGCTGAAATGATAAAATTGATATTATGTTGAGTTGTGCAAATCATGTTATTGTTTAGGTTGGTCGTTATGTTGAGTGTCTCAGTTGTTTATCTCATTCTCTCATAGATATTACTGTGATATTCATTGATTTGGTTTTGCAGTCGCGCGCCATAACCGTCTCTTAATCATTATGTGACTGTTATTTATTCTTCCTTTCAGTTTTCACGTACCGTACCGTTTTGTACCACGTGATGCCAGCGGTTATGAGAGCAGCGATGTATTATCCTATGTACTATACCGGCAATAGAAAACTAGATTGAATGATGGTCTTTTGTCGGCCGGTTCAAGCAGCGAATTCACTTGAACATCGCCTAAATCGCTTTGCTGGACGCCGACTATCAGGCCACATGACGAAACCGTGCACTATGACGAAATTGAACCTACGGCTCATTGAATTTGAACGCACCATCTTCTAAATTGATTGCTCTTCATTTGAAACGTGTGCACTATTACCGAATATCATGCACTTGGCCGAACTAGAGGTGCACTATGCCGAACTGTCGAAATCGGTTGCACTATTATACTGAACTGTGTGCACTATTTCTATATTTGGCCGTAAAAAGGTGTAGCGCATTTCACGTTCACGTGACATCCCACATTCTTCATTAGCTCCAGAGCTTTGCTGAGGGCTTAAGTTGCGTAGGAAGGTGAGATTTGTTTACATAATCGCTTATTTATACCGTGCTGGATTTATTTGAACGTTGCCGTAAGCACATGCCGTATGTCGAAATTGAATTAACCTGACGAATTATTATTTGCACTAAGTCCAATATGTCTGAACCTGGGCCACTTTTAACTGCACTATGACGGAGTGGGGTGCACAATGACGAATATCGTGCCGCAATTCAATATATGAAGGCACTATGCCGAACCATCGAAATCACCTGCACTATTAATGAAATGTGTGCACTTCCGCCTAAATTGGGCGTAAAAAGGTGTATAACATATATGCTCTTTTAACCCTCGCCCGTAAACGGCGATCTGCCAACTTCGCCCATGCAGGGGGGGGGGGTTGGTGCGACCCCCCCCTTGGCGTTTGAAAACGGAGCGTCGTAGAGCTTAGCGGAAAAGACCAACGGATTGCTCTCGCCGAGATCTCGCGATTGGTGGTATATTTTTTGGTCCTAGGTCAACATTTGACCTACTTTTGACCGGTCAAAGGTCAAATTTTCGGAAAAATAGACTTTTTCAAATTTTCCGCGGCGATTGCGGCAAAACGGTGGGAGATATCGACTTGAAACCTTCACTATCGTGTTCCTTGATCAATTCTCTATCGTTTGGTATGTATTTCGTTTCCCTAGCTCTAAAAATGGCGCGTTGGGAGCGCCGGAAGTCGGCAAGGTCACAGTCGGCGGCAGAAATTCGAAAAATCAAAATTTAAATTTTTGAAATCTGATTGTATTTTTGGATTTGGGATGTCCATTTGCTCCCTATAGAAGCTAATATTGCTGCATATTCCCATTGAGGTGACAAGAATTAGCAAAATAGTGGTTCGGGCGCTTTTCAAAAATAGTACCGGACGCTGTTCCTCTTGTGACGTCATAGCTCCGTGACCTGACCTGACCCGGTCAAGTTTCTTATACCATATGATAGCCAATACTTGCCCCAACATGCATGGGAAGTTTCATCACGATCCATCAACCGATGTCCGTACCACCGGCAGGAAACCTCGGGCGTTGGCACTCAGTTTGTGAAAATCCGGCCGGAGGCTGTTCCCTTTGTGACGTCATAACTCCGTGACCTGACATGACCCGGTCAAATTTTTTTATCAAAAGATGCGCAAGGTTTGCCCCATAAGGTACCCAAAATTTGGCGGCGCTGCGCGCCGCCGTTTTTGCACTATTTCCGAAAAACCTCAGGGGGGGGTTGCACCAACCCCCCCCCCCTACATGGGCGAGGGTTAAACTTCATTTTCTACAGTTGAAAAATAAATCACTGACCCTGACTCTGAGCAAAACGTGAAGAAGAGTAGGACTGTGGCCAGTTGCAGCACTGGTTGGATTTGTGTCGGCTGAATATAGCCCTGAGCGCTTGCCGCTACCATGGTTTGTCCCATTTCCTTTACAGAGAAATATAGCACTGTGAGCGAGTCCATCAGATATAGCCGATATGTACAGGTGTAGGATGTAACACAGTCGTGTTACATCACGTGGGACTGATGTTATGTCTGTTCTGTCGGTTATTGTCTCCTGTGGTGGGTGATAACAAGGTCGCGCGCTATCGATGCGGTAAGGCATTTGTTACCGACAGTTTTATCAGAGCCATGGTATGGTACATGTTACTCGCTGCTGATACCCGTAATTGACTGGAATGCCGTTTGGCTGACTCCTGTTACGACTTGGAAATTTCGCACGGACCTATCTGATTTTACTCGTAGGTATACTCGAGGAAAACGGAGCCTATACCTCCTCGCCATAGGCCTAAATTCTATTGGACAGATATTCAATCACTTTCAAACATTTACTGTCCATTGTCCAGCTTGGCGTTTGGTGTGGTTTCTGTCGAGTATCCGCACATTCCTACATATCATTGAAAAGGAGGAAGTCATACATATTCAAGAGACAAAGCTTCTTTTAGTGGAATATGCGAAAAGATAAAATCATGGTAACATCAGCCCAATCAAACTGACCCAACAGGTAAAACAAAACGCTTACAAATCGTAGGCATGATCTCCTTCTGAAAATACAGTTTTTAGATAACTTGAGTAAGGTATTTTTACAGATGTGGCTCAACTCCTACCTTGGCTTTGAATAGTCTACCTACTTTCGACATCCGCATAGAAATTCAACCGGCTCAAACTAGCAATATCATTCTTGTTTCTCACATACAAAAATATAATGGCACAAATGTATCAGAAGCAGTAGAGGCTGTAAGAAAGTCAAAAGTACAGCAACACTGCACATTCAAAACTGTCACATAACATAACCGACAATGGAACCAAATGCCACCATTTCAGTTCTGAAATTCCCTTTCGACGTCCGCTTCTTTCGAATATCGTTAGCATATCAAGGAAAATAGCCGTTATCGGAGGAATTTCCCACCCTGCGCTCAGATCATCCTGTGCGTATTAACTGTGGAAATCACGGGCTGGAAGCACTCTGTGCCGTGACGACAGCTGGATATACACGATCACCAGGCTATGTGGCGAATAAGTCGCACTGCTGTTCGGCATTCAAATCCAATACTGCACTGTCATTGATGGATGGACGCATCAATCATCCACCACTTAGGTAACACTTGGGTAACACCTGAATCACTGCAACTGCGCAACGCACAATAGTTGTACGAGCGACTGGTCGGCAGAATGGCTTGGTTGTACAAGCTGCCGCTGATGTTAGATATGACGGTATTACAATTTGCAATGCGAGGCAGCACACAGTGCGAACAAAGCATGCAGTCGTTGAAGGACTGGCGAAAACACGTGGCACATCGCGGGCGAACAGAGATGAATGATACGGCCTAAAGAATGTCTTCTTGCTGCACTGTAGCACACAGTTGTCATGAGTCCTCAACATAGAAATTAGAGAATGATCAAACACGGCAACATCATTTGATTCTATATGAGGACGGTGCCACATTAGAATCTGAAGTCTTCAGCTAGTTTGTAGGTGAATGTCTAAACATGCGAAATGTTTACGCCTTTGCAACGCACATGCGTTCTTGACATAAACAGTCATTGAACAGTTATACAACATCATCATCAATGCCGCGACGTAATTTGTCAAACGACGCCTAAAAGACAAATATGGCCAAACACTGTCCTTGCAGTTAGAAGCCATTGAACTTCGCATGCAGTTTATTTAGCGAGTAACGCATTATCAGCCGTATTCTCCCTAATTTGTCCAGTTTCCAGTGGCAACCAACCGTACCTAACTAACCGAAATGGCGCATTTGAGGAAGTGGACACATTTAATCCGGCAAATTCCCTCCCCCTCTCACCTAATTCAAGGCTTCGCGCATCAGCACAAAGCCGGCGCACACAAAACATGCTCAAACACAAGGCCTTGCGGGACTCACGTCCAATTTTTGGCGCTTCTCAATGTCGCGATACGACCTCGAGACTGTCGCCCTTTAGCGGCTTGGCTGTGTGTGGCGTGTGCTTAAACGCTTCCAATCCGATTTCTTCGTGCAAAGTGTGAACAGTGACTTGCCGCCTGCCATGGCTATGCTGTTCAACAAGTTCTTATCGCCAAGCAAGCTTCTAAAAATGATATAACAAGCTATGAAACGCTTAGTGGGTTTCAGTTTAGTGGTAAACCGGTAGTTCTTGATCACAATCATTGCAGATGAAGCATGAAGCCGATTTGAAACAATGTCAGCGGCTGTGTCCCATATCAATGTTGTCGCTGTTTTTTCTCGCATCAGGGGCTCGTGCAATGGGTTGCATGCAAACTGAACAAGCAGCTATATAATCGTACACACTGCTCACTAAGCTGTCCGCATCACGACAGAAGTAACGCGCGAACAATAATCGCAGCGTTAGCATCCATGGTGCCATCAATAACTACCTGACGGCTGACGCACTATTTCAAACCGTTTTTTTTTCTTTTATAGGTCATTATACGGCCTGGAGGTCCCACTTGACGGACGGCCGCCAATGATGTGGAGTGTGGACCCACCTGGTGACGGTGGTCACCCGGCACCGGCAGGCAGCGGGGGCGAGTCGGGTCATCTGGCCCAGCGTGAGGGGACCGCCCAGCAGAGAGGGACGCCCGGCAGAGTAGAGATGTACGGACCGCCCGGCACAGCAGGGTCCACAGCCACCGCGCGGGGGGTGGCCGCCCGGCAGAGTACTGCCCTTCAGAGCCAGAGTGGCCGCCCGTCAGACCGGGTCCGCAGCCACCGCGCGGCTCCCGCTCCAAACCGAGGTCAAATCACCGTCGGCGGCGGCACCGGCTTTTCCCAGGCCGGCGCCGCGGGTTTTCCGAGCTGATCGGACACATTTCCGGACATCTATGCACACCGGTCTTTTTGTATTGTTTGTATCTGCCAGGTGCGAGCGTATGTGTGTGAATGAGCGCGTGAGAAGGAAGGAGGTGTTTTGACATTCAGCAGATGCATACCCTACGCTGTTAGGCTCGTGAAGATAAAGTTTGTTATTTGATTATGCTAGCGAAAGCACACGATATGCAGCTTGCGTGCTGTTTTGTTTGAAGATGAAATGACAGCAACGTGACGATGGTATACAAAATCATCCCGACAAATCCCAAACTCTTCATGGTTTTACCACGGACCAACCATGCTACACAAAAAGCAGGTAT